TCAGCCTGCCTTCGTTGAGGCTTCGTCCTGGTGTCTTCATGTTCGGAAGACTCTTCCCAAATGCATGGATTTCTTAGAGACTCATCCTGTACCAGTGTCCACATGAGAATGTGACATTGTCTTTCTTGAAGGATTTAGTTTTGGTTGTATATGACTCTGAAATCAATGCAGGGGCAGTTCTGGCGGTTTTACTGGATTTTAGCGCGAGCTTCTCCCAATCTCGCTTACAGGTAACAAATTTTGTCATTTCCCGTTCGCTGATTTTAGTTTTTTTCAAGGTTGACGACCCGCATTGTTAATTCTTTAATACAAAGCCCTTCAAGTGAAAGTCCTTCTGTCGGTCTTCCTATGGCTTCAACGATTGGGTGTTCAGACTACAAGTGCTTCTCTTCGAATGAGGATCCCTCCGGAAATGATGATGGAGTTGGCCATTATTGCTTTGACAGTGAATCATTCTCATTGTGGCTAAGAGCAATGGGAGTTTCTTCCGATGAAGAACAAAGTCTCAATAATGATTTGAATCAAAATTTTGGGTGTAAGAATAATCTTCTGCCTCTTATCTATGATTTTTTTTTTCTTTGTTTTCCTAATTATTCTTTTTGTCTTTAGATCAAGGGCGTTTAGTGAGCTGGCTTCGAACCCTTCTTCTTCTTCCTTCGAATGGAATGAATGACTCAGAGGGATCCCATCTACCTTTCTGCTTAGAACTTCTACTCCATCTCTTCTGTGACCCTTCAACCCATTCCTCATCAACAGTTTTCCCATCCATAGGTTCAACCACTCAACCAAAAATCGCATCTGGAAGTTCTACCCTTCCTTCCCTCGCATCAACCACACGTGATATGTTCTGTCAACGACTCCTCCAATGTGTGAACGCATCGCACGGCCGTGTATTATCTGCCTGTCGCGCTAGCATTGATTCCGTAGCTCGGATTGCGTTCCGGGTTCTCATTGTCCCAACCAACGGATCAGAATATCAAGACTCTTCTTCTCTCGCTATTTCCGACACTCAAAATGGATTAAAGTTATTGCTTCGTCTTTTCGAAGAGGCAGATGTTCGTGTTCCCTCATGTGCAGCGACGCGACTCATTGAATGGGTCAGCAATCGCGTTCTATTGAAGCCATCGATTTCATCACAAGAAGACTCAACGGCAATCAATCGATCCCAGCGGCAGGCTCTTCAACCGACTTCTACTTCCATTGGGACGATCAGATACACAACAGAACAATCGAAATCATCCATATTTAACAGACCATTTTAAAACAGTTCTCATTAATCTCTTGCAAGGATCGGAGTCTGATTCCTCATCAGAGGCACCACCCTCAACGAACGGTGATTTAGAACTCTTTTCAGAGTCTCAAGCCGCTTCTGTTCATTCAGCATTGGCAGAGATTCAGAGACTGACATCAGACACAATAGCATCCACCCCGTTACAAGAACTTTCAAGACTTGAAGTTCCATGGACTCAACCAGGAACTTTTCCAATTCAATCTTCTGATCTACAATCAGCAAACACAGCAACATTGACACCCAAACCAATTATAGAGGTGAGAGTCGCTGATGTGGGTGTGTATTTGGAGTAAATCTATTTTGTCTTTTAGCTTGTCCCTCTTTCTGGAAATCATCTTGTAGTCCCGGTTACTGAAGTCCTTCGTGCATTCGCGTCTCCGTCTGACCCCCCCTTACATTCCCGTCGCGGATTGAAACGACGATTGGACGTTCCGGAACGCGAGTGTCCGACGTTACCTCCCGCGAAGCGTATTCGACCGACAAACGACGACATCCCCCTTGCATCAGAGCAATTTATGTTTGATGGTGATGGCTGCAGCACACGAAACAACGATGGAGCACGCCCTCTGAAATTATCACCATTAGCGATTCAACAGTTGGAATCAACTATCATTCGTGAACAACAATTACAACAACACTCGAACGATTTGTCTGATGGAGATCGTTTGATGTCCGATTGGAGTTCATTGCAAGAAATGTTGCACGGCTGATGATCAAACCAATTAGTCAATTCTTCCCCCCGTATTATTTCCTCTAGCATTTCTTTTTTTACCATTTTCTAGACTGAACCACATTGATGCATTTTGTTTTTCCGTCCAACTGGTGTCGGTTCCTGGACCACTTCAAACAACATGGCACCTAACAATCCCCCAATTCCTGACCCTCACAGCGTCGATTATGCACCAACGGGTCGAGCGACTTGCAAAGTAAACATCTTCCTCCTGCAATCTCACTTTCAGCTCCGTTTCAGGACTGTGGTGCGTCAATCAAGCAGGCCGCAGTCCGGTTTTGCCGTCAAGTTCGAAGCCCCTTCCACGATGGCTTCGACACTCAATACAGACATTTCCGATGCGGTGTTCAGCGCAACTACACTTCAGATCTTCGTGAAATCAAAGGTCTGTTTGAGAGCCAGTCTCGCGACTCTATCTCTCCTTAGGGATTTTTTCCTTGAAATGGACGGATATATTGGCGTGCGCACAGCATTACGACGTCAAATTGGACGAAAGCCAGTAGGATTGAGATGATGGTGTATTGCAGGCTATTAACAGTTGTTGTTTCAGTCCAATGGTGTCCCCAATACAAACGATTTAATCAGATGAAATGGAGCTGCAGTCATCGTTGGATAGCCTCACAATGAAGATTTTGAAGCCGATTCTGGAACATAACAATCTTCATGTTTGGGATAAAATGAAAGCGCCCGAAGCAGCTCATGTTATTGCAGATGGTATAGATGCATGGTGTAAAAGTCAAACTTACGCTATCCATGTTTTCCAGGATTAATTTTTGGAAAGCTTCCAAACTGTCCAATTTGTGAACACCCCACTCTAAGACAGGTAAGCATAGGGTGAACTCAGATCGTGGTAAGCGGCCGTTGTAATGTCAGGAAGGGGCTGAGTGAGTTTTATTGCCGGGGTTATCTAGAAGACTCGAACACACGGTGTCCATTCAAATACACTCTTGCTGATCTTCTTGATCCCTCAAGATCTGTTGATAATTCAGCAACTGGGATACAAGATATCTCTGTTTTAACCCGCACAGAAAAGTTCATTCTTCCCGTGAGAGCAACATGTTGCATCTCTGTCTGATTTGCTTCTCTGTTTAGCCGGAGTGTTTGAAGGTTCCAGCGTTTAAAAACTGGAAATGTCCCAAAGATGCGCCGTCTCTTAAACTCGCAGGTAGAGCAATCACAAATGGGGTGCATCTTAACGTCCGTTGCACACAGGGGCATCAACGTCTTCAGATGTGAAACAAGAGGTGTAAGTTATTGAGAGAAAGAGTGCTGCTTGTAGAATCCTGGAAGACGGATCCATGAATTCCTCATAGACCGTCGAAAGGGAGGAAGAAAGCCGTCGTTTCAGAAGATGAAACGGAGGAGACTGTCCCAAAAGGTTGGGAATTGATCGGAATGTCATTTGCATCCGTCGGAAACACGAACCCTTCAAGACAAGATCTTATAAAACTTATCACTAAACATAATGGGACATTCACGTACGTCAATCGCCTAGTAACGATGACACATTGAACAATCTGATCTTCAGAGAAGATGTAACTCCATCAACAAGTTATCTTTTAATTGGTGATGATCCTAAAGCAAAAACAACGAAGAGATTCGCAGATGCCAAATCTTTCGGTGTTCCTGTTCTTCATGTATGCGAGTTACAAATTCGATTCCTCTCATTCTTGTTTTGCAGTGTGATTTCATTCCAGCTCTTATTTCACGAAAGCCAGTTTTACCAGCAGTAGGAAAGAAGAAGCGTCCTGCACCCAAAGCGAAACCAACAACGCGGAAGAGAAGACGGGGGGGAGACACTTCACCGCGAGAAGAACAAGAAGTTGCAGATGTTGAAATGGCGGAACCTGAAGAAGATCCTCGGCCCAAGGGAGTGATTTTGCGGGGGCGGAAATACGCGAAGGTTTATTTGTTAAATGGAAAAATGCACGCAACCCCATTCCCCTCAGCAAAGGTGCAATTCTCATTGTTTGGCCTCTTCGTGATTTGTTCTGCTATTTGTAGCTTTTGAAGGAAAAGAGGGAAGCAGAGGAAGCTGTGAAATCCGAATCGAGCCCTACTAAGAGCGAACGTCGACCCGCAATTCAACCAGGATCTGCTTTACTGCAAGTATGAACAAATCAGTTGTTCTGTAATTTTGTTTGAATCTTATTTTGAATCAATTCTTCAGATCGACAGTTTATTTCCCAAATCTGCACGCCATCGCATTTACGTTGATCAACTCAACAATGCATATAATTGCACGACATCCTTGTCGGATATTTCGACTGGTGAGTCAAGCGATTGTGTTGAAATGGAATCTTCTTTTTTCTAGGAATCAATAAGTTCTATAGTTTGCAACTCATCGAGGATTGTTCCGCCAAGCCTTCGAATTTCTGTGTATTTCGCAAGTGGGGCAGAGTTGGCGCCGATAAACGCGCGGACACGATCACTGAGGAATTTGGAAAAGATTTGAAGGGCGCAATCGGTCGGTAATAGACGCTTCGTGTCTCCATCGATCTTTGTTTCGTAGATTCTTTTGAGGCGCGTGTTTTCGATTTGACGGGAGTCGATTGGAACGCCCGCTTCGATAAAAAGAACATCGGGGGAAGGTTTGTTGATTTCAGGCCTTCGCGTTGAAATGTTCTTCTGTGCACTCTTCTTAGATATCGTTACGTTTTGTTGCATGGCCATAAAGAAGACAGCGAAGATGAGGATAATAAAGTTGCAATAAAAACAGAAGGTGAAAAGATTCGTCATTTCTAGATTCATTGATTTTGTCTTTCAGAGACTCAAATCAGCGGATCACAAGAAAAGCTTGAAAGCAAATTGGAGAAATCAGTTCAAGAATTAATTGAATTGATATTTAATAGAGAGATGATGGAGCACGCGCTTGAAGACCAAGATATTGATTTGCAAAAAATGCCTTTGGGTAAGTAAAACTCGTAGGCCAATGACTCGATTCAAGAGAACAGAGAAGACCAGTGGCAAGTTGTAATTCCTTCAGGAGCCATCAGTAAGAGTCAAATGACGGAAGGGTATGGATATTTGCGACAACTTCAAAGTTTACTCACCGATGAGATTCATAACGTAAGAAGAGAAATGGACACTTGAATGAATTTATTGCTCGACAGGCAGGAACGCTTAAATGGACTTCACGCATTATCGCAGCATCCAGCAACTTTTATACAGCGATTCCTCATTACGTGAGATACACACTTCACATGTCCCAATAATTGATTTGTGTTTCAAGTTCAAGCTTTCCAAAACTCCTCCACCAATCGATTCGTTAAATCTATTAAAACAAAAAATTGACATGATGGAGCAATTGATGGAAATTGGTGTCGCTGCGTCAATTATGGATGAAGCACTCAGAAATGCAAAGGTACAAAAAACATTTCTGGTTAACGCTTTTTGTTCATCACTTCTTTCATTAGCTATTACAATTCATTTATTTATTTTGATTTGTTTATTTACATTTTTCTCAGTCAATGGCAGCATTGGATTCCTACTACCTCGGATTGAATTGCGAGTTGCTGCCTGTGGATCGTAAAAGCAATGCGTTTAAATCCATTTCCCTCGCCCTCAAGAACACCCACGCACGAACTCATAATTCCTACTCGCTCCGTCTTGTTGACATCTATGAGTGCAAACGTGCTCAGGAAACAGAACGCTATCTTGAGTTTCTCAATTCAACTCCATTGGAAAATCGAAAACTCCTCTGGCATGGATCCAGATTGGTAAGATGCGCACATTGAGCAGATGGCCACTTTTGTTTCCTAGACGAATTGGGCGGGAATCCTGAAAACAGGGTTGAGAATCGCCCCTCCAGAAGCTCCAGTAACAGGTGAGCGTTCAACCCCGAATCAATTTTGGTCATTTCATCATTTAGGATACATGTTTGGGAAGGGAATCTATTTTGCTGATATGGTGAGATTTGTCGAAAGTGTTAAATGGTTGATATGTGATGGTTGTTTCAGGTCAGCAAATCCTCGAATTATTGTTTCGCTGATCAAAAAAATCCGTATGGAATTTTGGTATTAAGTGAAGTCGCTTTGGGGGATCCATACCACAAATTGAACGCCGAGGAATCTGCGGCAAAGAATTGCAAGGAAAAAGGTAAAATGAGGAAGAGATTGTTTGGCTCAATTGACCTCTACTTCCTCATAGGCTGTCACCACACGTGGGGAATTGGAGGAACACTCCCAGATCCTTCGTCCCAAGCTTTGCTTCCAAGTCGATTTGGCGGGTCCCTCATCCCGCTTCATACTGGAAAGGGCGTTAGCTCGAAATCAGTTTTGGAGCAGGTGCGAAATTGAAACATCTTGATTGTATTGTCATTGCGATTTTTCAGATTAAGATGAGTGGTTCTTCATCGCTTCTTTATAATGAATATATTGTCTATGATGAGGCTCAAGTCACTATGCGATATATCTTAAGAGTTGAATTTAACTATAAGTCTTTCATGGAAGATGATCCATCATCTTCATCATCATCAGACTCAGACGATGACTAACTATAAAAAGATAATTAGAGCCCGATTTGAAACTCTTCACTCTTTTTCTCGATCTTCCGCTTACTTACTATTCCATCAAATCAATAGCTTGTTCAAAAAAATCTTTCTTTTCGTAACAAATGTCCTTCATATTTAGCTTCAATGAGTTGTACAGTATTTTATCTACAGTATTTTATCTACTAGAATTGATGTCATCAAGAGGATGTTGTTATGACGAGTTAGTAAACGTATCCTTTTTCGAACAGACTAGCACCAGAGTCTTTTCCGCCTTGACCCCCTTCATATTTTCCCAGCTGGGATTCCCCGTTCGCCTTCGCTCTCGCAAGCAACGCTTCTTGCCCTTTCACAAGGTTCTCTGACTTTCCGCCCCACGCTTTCAAACAGGAAGCTTGCAATGCCCTCCCGAACTGAAAAGCAGAATCTCTACATGAACAACCAAGAATCTCAAAACATACCGAGAAGGAGAGAGACCAAGGATGTGGTCCAACTTTGTTCATTGCATTCAGATTCAGAGAAGCATCTTCTTCAGATTGTCCGCCAGAGAGGAAATTAACTCCAACAAGTGCCGGTGGAACAGTTCGACGAAGAGTCCGAATTGTATAGAATGCAACCTCTTCTGGAGTAGATTGCTTCGAAGCACTTTGACCAGGCGTCACCATGTTGGGCTGAAAAGCATCGCGATGAAGCAATGGCGGCTATTGGAGTATCACCTTCAGGAGGCAGCCTTCCAGGAGAATGTTGTGGTCGTTAAGAGCTTTAAACACGGCGGCTAACGTTCGCTCAGTGGCATCAGCACATGTTTCGATGCACTTTGGAGTGGAACGACACAGCATGAGATGAAATAGCGACAACCAAGAGTCTCACGTGAGTTCCATCAGCGAGGAGTTCCGGTTCGACAATTGGGACCAAACGACAAGATTGACAGATTGCTGCGTACCGCGCCAATGTGTGTGCTGTCTCAGCGATTGAGAGATCGCTCGGCTTTCCCTTCACAGGGTCGATTGAAAGAACGGCCTGAACACCGAATGCCAATCAATTCGAAGTATTTCATCGCTCACTCTCCATTTAGCAAAACGCGCTCCAGCTTCGTAATACTGTGAAAATACGGGAAGTCAAATACAAAATCGATGAAATGCAAACCTTTTTGCAACGATCTGCCAGTTTGTCAAGCCCTAAACAAAGAGATACATTCAACAGAGATGCAAGAAAGCGGCAAACCTTGAGTCGCTTTTTCATCGTCAGTTCCTGGGAGCGCAACGACACCAAGATCCACTTTAATACCAGGAATGATCGATTCGGATTTCATGAGTTCCACCATGGATGTTCCATTCTTAGCATTCTGGAACAATGTCTGACAAATTAAGATTTTGCATCAGGAAATTGATGCTTCTGCTACCTCTTCATAGAGAATTGCGCCAGAGATAAATTTTCCAAGTCCCTTGGTTGTGAAAAGCAGTTCGCGATAAGCTGCTCGATTGGGTTCTGTATTCTCTAATCCAATCTTCTCGAAACGCTTTCCGATGGTTCCTGTCGATTCATCAGCGGCCTGAAGCAACGAGGATCAAACTGTTCTAGACTGAAGCTTTCAGTTGTGAATTCGTTTTAGACGCACCAGAATTCCTTTTCCTGGAGATGCAATTTTAGCGGCTGTTTCTGCCAATTCTTTGGCGACGTCTTGAGGAAATTTAGCTGGCTGTAAAAAGTACGAGATTGAACAGGAAGGGGCATCCTGTGTATCGACTTACCATCGTGAAGTGGGTTTTGCAATTGAGTGGTGGTTTGAGCTGATTAAGTGAATATGCGTCTCACAGCATGCAAACGGTATATTGAAAATCTGTTGTCGCAAACACCAAAGAAACACATTTGGAGTGAAATGAGAGATTTGAAGAGAAAACAAGACAAACAATAGAAAAGTGCAAGAGAGACTAGTGGTACATATCGCCTTCAGCTGGTTGGGGTAATCGGCGATTACTAGGTGCAGCCATTTCTAGTCTTAAAGCAACCAGAACGGACTCAATAGACTGATGGCAGTTCCAAGAACGGAGAATACCAAGACCTCTTGAAACCTGAAATGTTGGATTGAATCAGCTCTATGAAAGGAAAACATACATTTCCAAGGCCGTCAACAGAGGGAAGATTTATTTTGGTGTTAAACTTAACATCTGGAGCTTGATCGGGGTAGTGTTGTCCACAACGCAACGTGAGGGAGTAAATCCTGTTTTCAAACGGAGTCTGAGAAAAATGAAATTAAAAATGTGTTGCACAATGAAATTGACAAAGGTGTACGATGAAATTGACAAATGTGTTGCATAGGGTATTTTTTCTACCATGTGAGGTCCGCAGATTGTGCAACTCCACGTGGTGAGGGAAATATCATCTGGCTCCTCCAACCCATAGGAGACGCCGTCGCTCACGTGACCTTTTTGACCCTTTTCGAGTTCATCGAGGAGGCGGAAACTGCGAGGGACCTTGATTGGCTGAACAAAGAGGCGTTGCGCAAGTGCTGTTCGTTACAAGGATTCACCTCTGTGTTCATTGCGGAAATTTAGAGAAATGCAATCAAGGGCGAATTAATCTGTGATGGAGCGAAAATTCTCTATCACTTCCGGAGAACGCTCACCTTCAAAGAGCCCACTTCTCGATTTAGGGACTGAGCAGGTCTCGATCTCCCGGATTGAAAGACATGCAGAAGTCACATCTGCTTTTCAGGGACGCTACAGGGAGAACCAATATTTGCGAGACTTTCCGTAAGGTTCTTAAGGATCTACAATGCGGTGAAACCATTCTTCCTGTGGGCCTTCGTTTGTAGACTGAATTCTTGAAGAGATTGTCTCCGATGGCGCAACAGGAGGAAGAGAAGGTAGAAGACTCTATGACCACTTCTAAGCTCCCTATCACTCCCTATCTGTCTGTTACTTCATTCGTTTTTCCAGGCTGTAATTATATCAGTTCCCTCTAAAGAACCCACAAAGCATAAGAAGAAAAATGACAAGAAGAAAAAGGAGGAAGAAGAACTTGTAAGTCACGCACTGCACGAAAAATCGGATCTCTGTTTATTCAGTCTGAAGAAACTCAAAAAATTAAGGATGAAATTGAGTTGTTAGCTGAAAGGGTTCGAGACTCGGATGATGGCGTTGCTCAGTTAGCGCTCCAGACATTAAGTTTGCAGCTGAGAGGAGCAACAACCACAATGACTTCAGGTACGGATTGATGTTGTCCCATGGTTGATGTGTTTTTTTACAGTCCCACTCCCACTCAAATTTCTTCGTCCATATTTTGGGGATATTGAATTGCATTATGAATCTCTCCCAGATGATAATTCTAATAAGGTACGATCAGATTCAACAGAGACCTTCGTTATGTCGGTTGGTTCTTCATGGTGGTTCACACTGTTCATTGTTGTTTCTTCAGACAGCCATTGCCGACGTTCTTTCTATTCTAGCAACTGTTGTTCCAAACGACACACGCAAGGCTCTTCATTATCGATTGCGAGGAAGCAAGGATGGGTTAACGAGTTGGGGGCAAGAGTATTTGCGCAATATCAGCGGAGAATTATCAGCAGAGTATGACGACCGCCAGAATAAGTTGCTGGATAAGTTAATGTCGTCTGAGGAGTTAAAGCCCGAGCTTGAAGTGTCTGTAAGTGTGTTTCTGAAAAGAGAGCTCTATGGAACAAATTCTTCTGTTCAGGATCTCCTCAATTTAGTTTTCCAAATCGTTCCTTTCTACATGAAGCATCACAATGAGATTGATGCAATCGATCTTCTCAGTGAAGTTGAACAAATAGAAGCAATTGCGCGCGTAAGATACATTCTCATGCGCCGCTTTATTCTTCTTATTTTTGTTCAGTTTGTTGACGAAAAAAACTACTCGCGCGTAACGCACTATCTGCTGGCATTGAGCAACTACGCTGCTTCTGATGAGGAGTGGACCAGCGTGCTTCATGTGACCTACAACATTTTCATTGCGATGGTACGAAACTTCCAACTTCTATTTTTCTCAGAAGATGTTTTTCAGGAAGAGTATTGTCAAGCTGTGCGTGTTGGATTAAAGCTGCGTGATACTGAGCGTGTTAGAAAAGCAATTTCCAGCTGCTCTTCTTCGGTTGTAAAGAAACAAATTGGATACTTGTTGGCAGCGTACCAGATCAATTTGCAAGAGCTGAATATCTCTCTCGAAGAAGAACCAGATTTGCTCACAGCAACGAATGACTGGCTCTCTGAAATGTATAAGCTATTAGGAAAGGCAAGTGAAGTATGAAGACTGCCAAGAAATGTGTTTCTTCTATTTAGGAATTGGATGTTTTGGAGCCCAAAACACCAGAGGATGTTTATAAAGCACACTTGGAAGATCGACGTAGGCTTTCTCTCAATCCTCTCGTAGTAATTCTCGCTTGGTATGATTCGCGTAGGTGGCGCGACTGGATTTTTCTTAGATTCTGCCAAAATGAATCTTGCCTCTACTTATGTCAACGCATTCGTTAATGCTGGTTTTGGGACAGACAAGTTGATGACAGTCGATGATTCATCCTGGATTTATAAAAACCGTGAACATGGAATGCTTGCTGCTGCTGCGTCTGTTGGTGAGCAATCAGCGCAGAAGGTCTACTTCAATTGTGGAAGAATCAGCATTTGTTGATCATCTCATCAAAACGAAGCTCTTATAGTTCTTTCATGTTTCAGGGTCTGTGATGCTCTGGAATGTTGAAGATGGAATTCAAAGCATCGATAAATTTCGTTGGGCTTCAGATCCGATGGTCAAAGCTGGAGCATTACTGGCATTTGGACTTGTTTGTAGTTCTACTAATGTTCCTGGAGATTATGCTTTTGGCCTTCTCTCTGACCAAGTGGTGCGTTAGAGTGATGCATATGGATAACCATTTGATTGGTGCATCTGCATGTTGTTTGTTATATAGGAGGCGGGAACAGGAGCGGAACGTGATGCAACAATTTTGGGTCTTGGAATTTCTCATGCAGGATGGCACAGAGAAGAACTCCTTTCTTTGTCGGTTCCTCTTATCATTGACACATCAATTCCAAATGAAACAAGCGCATTTGCTGCGTTGGGGTTATCATTGACGTTTGTTGGAAGCGCTAACGAAAACGCTGCTGAAGCGATTCTTCAAACGTTGATGGAGCGTCAAGCGATGCCTGGAAATTTGGATGAGCCGGTTTCTTATCTGTTTGGATTGTCTTTGGGACTTTTGTTCTTGGGACGGAAAGACTCATGTGAGGCAACATTGGAAGCACTAGAGACCATCAGTGAACATCCCACGGGGAAATACGCAAGTTCGACAGTCATGGGATTCGCTTTCGCTGGCTCTGGTGACGTTGCTAAGGTGATTCAATATTTGGCTTAATTGATGAGTCACGTATTTCATCGATTTCAGGTTCAGCAATTTTTGAAAGCGTGTATTGAACAAGATGACGACAAGGATTCCAAAGAGGAAGCGGAAGAAGAGGGAACTGCAACTGGATCAGACGCAAAACCTGCCGCGGACTCTGAGGCGAAAGTGTGTCCAATGCGTGGAATGCATCAAGCTTCCGCCGTTCTCTCAATGGTGCTTGTCGCTTTGGGAGAGCCGTATGGTACGTTTGCAAGTCTAGCGTCCTTCCCGTTCAGCAATAATTAAGAGTCGTCTTGTCTGATTATCAGGAACTGATATGCAGCTTCGAATGCTCGATCATCTTCTTCAATATGGAAACACGTATATAAGACGTGCTGTTCCATTAGGCCTTGCACTGCTGTCAACCTCCAATCCAAAACCCTCAGTCGTTGAATCTCTTTCAAAGTTAACACATGATACTGATTCTGATGTTGGATTGAACGCGGTCCTTGCATTAGGATTTGTTGGAGCTGGTAAGGGCAGCCAGAAATATCGAGAGATAAGCATTTTTGTTTGTAGGCACCAACAACGCGAAAATTGCGGACTTGCTTCGTCAACTAGCTTCCTCGTATTACTCCCGCTCCCTTAATGGCTTGTTTTGCGTTCGCTTGTCCCAAGGACTTCTCTATATGGGAAAGGGTCTCATGACAATTTCCCCAATCCTTTCCGACGGATTTTTGATATCTCCTGTTAGCCTTGCCTCTCTTCTTGTTACCCTCCATTCTTGTCTTTTCCTAAAACAAACGTTTCTCGGGTACGTCGTTCTCTCTGTCTCTCGTTCATTGCGTTTCTTTCCAGACGTTTCCATTATTTGCTCTTCGCGCTACTCCCGGCAATGCGGCCCAGAATGCTTCTGACTCTAGATGAGGAGTTACACCCGTTGCCCGTCACAGTTCGAGTTGGCCAAGTAAGATTTGCAACACATTTTGTTAATTGATTGTTGACGCATTTCTTTGTAGGCTGTCGACACGGCTGGTCAAGCTGGAAATCCACGTTCAGTTACAGGGTTTCAGACCCACACAACACCTGTGTTGTTGGGGGCAGGAGAAAGAGCTGAATTAGCCACAAGTGATTACGTTCCTGTGACGTCTGGCCCGTTGGAAGGTGTTGTGATTCTGAAGAAGGGAAAAGACACCCAGCGATAGAATAGAATGATGCGTCGTTTCTTTTTTTCCAATACCTATTCGTACAAACAACTGAGTGGAAAATTCCTTGAAGTCCATCGAATTGAAGAAAGTGTTTTATTCAAAGTTTTCCAGCCTCACGAAGATTCCATTCGGTCCAACTTCCGTCATATAGAGACACATTGTCCCAATTGCAATATTCAGAAACCATTGTTGCAACCAACACAACAACAGCAGAAACTCCTGAGGGTATTATGTGTGGGATTGTATTGCAAGAAACCTGCTCACCGCTTCCACAAGTAAAAATGAGCTCTTTGTCATGATTAGGAGGAAGGTTCAATTTTTCTATTGAGGATTTAAATTACTGTTAAAGAGAGGAAACTCTTACCTGAGAAAAGCTCTTCCAGTTTCTCCCGTGAGTTGTATGTGAAATATTCATACTCAATTAATTCTCCTTCATTTCCAGATAAACAACCAGAGAGTGTTCCTCGGTCTCGTTGAAGTCGATGAGAGATTAAAACGCTCTTCCAAGGAACGTTGCGAGACCCTGGAATGACCACCTTGTGCGTCACTCAGCAGATTATGACGCACCAGCGATATGTCCACTCGCAACATCTGCTCGTGGCTCAGGATCTAATCCCAAGAATCTGCCGCTGGGCCGGGCGTCAATTAGAAGACAGGAATCCGAATTTGAACGAACGATTCTCTGAATAGCGTCATACGTTCTGATCAGCGCTTTGTTGAACGAAACTCCGATGACCTCTGGAGAAGATCTCGGAGACTTCTGGCGAAAGGGCGTTGTCTCCACTTCATAGCCTTCACTTATCCAACCACAAAGACCTCCATTCAAAATAAAGGCATTCGCTGCACCAAACACTTTCAACATCCACCAGACACGCGGAGCACTGATCATCACAGTAAATTGCACAAACAAAACAAACAAAATTTGTACCTCCAAGCACCAATTGAGTCATAAACAACAAATACGTCTTTCGTTAAATCAATTGAATTTTGCTGATCACTCAAGATACTCGCAAGATATCCAGTGAAATGGTCTGCTGTTGGCATCTTTACACACAGAAGACAAATTGACTGGATGTCCCAATTTGGGACAACCCACCGTGTGGGGAATCGGAGAGTCTCGATCAGATGATTCATCAAGATCGAAATAGACCGCGTGTGGCAATCGAATTTTATTGAATTCAATTCGTGGATCTAAAAAACAATTTAAATGAACAATTTAAAATGAACAGTTTGGAAGTGAAGGTCCCTCAACAAACCCCTTCCTCGAAACAAAGGCAATCCCAACCATGTACAATCGAATAAAAAGATCTGTTGATTATCTTCATTTATCAACAACTGTTGTAATTCATTTGGTTCGATCAGTGGCTCGATTCCTTGCATTTCTCCTTCCCTGCTCGCCTTAAAGGAATGACAGATTGTGTACTCAATTAATATTTGTAGATATGTATCTTGAGGAGTTGATTATCGATGGTTTTAAGTCTTATGCAGTACGAACAACAATTTCTGGTTTTCATCCACAATTTAATGCAATAAGCGGTTTAAATGGAACGGGAAAATCGAATATTTTAGACTCAATATGTTTTGTAATGGGAATAAAATCGTTACAACAGGTAGAGAGTTATTTAAATCATTGTTGAGTTCCCTTGTTGCGGTAGATGCGTGTGACAAAATTGGATGAACTTATTTATAAACAAGGACAGGCTGGAGTAACAAAAGCCAGCGTTACTTTAGTCTTTCGAAACGATGACTCGAAGCGATCACCCGTTGGACTCGCAGATCGTCCCAAAATAACAATAAGCCGTCAAGTAGGATCCTTTGCGAAAGATCTGGAAGGATCCTTCGTGTTTTTAGATTGTTGTCGGTGGTCGTGACAGGTTTCTGATGAATGGCCATGCAGCACGTCCGTCGGACATTCAAACAATTTTTCAATCAGTGCAATTAAATGTGAATAACCCTCACTTTCTGGTCATGCAGGTAAAACAGAATGTCATATATATATTATGATCAATGATGATTACTTATCATTGATTATTATCTTCTGAAAGGGTCGAATTACGAAAGTCGTCAATATGAAGCCGCAAGAAGTTCTTGGAATGGTTGAAGAAGCAGCAGGTACTCGAATGTATGAAACAAAGCGAAACGAATCCACCAAAAAAATTGCAACAAAAGAATCAAGAGTGAGTTCAAAGAAAATTGTTTGGTTTGTTACGCACATCTGATAGCTTGCTGAAATTGAACGCGTTATCCATGAAGAAATTGAACCAACCCTGGAGGGGCTGCGGAAAGAACAGTGAGAACTTCAGCTTACTGACTTGTTGACATCGCGAATTTTGTTTTTTAGAGAAGATTACACAGCGGCATTGCGAGGACAGGAAGAGTTAACGAGACTTGATCGATATTGCCGAGGGTTTGATTACTACAGGTATGACTTAGATTTGGTTTAAGATTAAAATATTGAATTTATCAGAATTACACAAAGTTTGAAAAAATCTCGAAAACAACAAGGTGGAGTAGAATTGAAAAAAATGGTTCTTAGCGTGATTCATTAGACGAATGGAAACTCAAGTCCCAAAATTTGCAAGATGCGCTGGCAAACCATCAAAAAAGTCTTCGACTTTTGGACGATCGTTTGAGAGAAGAAGAGCTTGAGGTAGAATTTTGCATAATATGGTGGTTCAAATTAAAATTCTATCAATCAGTTAAGAAAAACCGAAAAAGGACGAGTGACGGAGCTGACTCAAGAAAAACGTGCGCTTGAGAACGTAAGTCCTTTACCATTTGCGATGACTGCTTGAGTTGACATGAACCGATGCTTGAACAGGATCTTGCGGTACGCAAAGTTGCTAATCAAGAGGCAGAGAAAGCAAAAAATCGATTCAACACTGATCTGAAAAACATGAATCAAATGCTTGAAGATGCAAAAAAGCAAAAAGCAGCATTAATGAAATCCTCAGAATCAGAGCGAGCACAACTTGAAGACCGAACGAAGAAGGGTGAGATTTGCTGAAACATAAAAGTCCTAAGAATGTCTTGATGGTCACATTGCAGCGGCTGATTTACAAAACTCTTTGGAAGACGCTAAAGCTGCATTAGAGGAACTAAGAACGGGACACGTGACTGAAAAGAAATCAAGAACATCTCGACAAACATTGAGACAACAATTAACTGCGGGAGAATTGCATGTTACGAAATTAGAATCTGAGTGTCAACAGCTTGAAGCCACGATAACGTAAGAGAAATGTTTTTAAGAAATGAAACGATGTTCCATTCAGGAAGTGGAGAAGTGATTTGGCACAATGGGCTTCAGCCGCAGCCTCGTCAAATAAAAATTCTGTAAGTGGTATCTGCTTTGGGACACTTGGGACACCCTTCTCTAATGTCGCAGCTATCACAACAGCTGAGTGAACAACTAAAAGCAGAAATAGAGAAAGTTTCAAAATTGGAGGAACGCATCAAACAATTACAAAGTGTCAAAGAAACACACAAGAAAGCTGACGTAAGAGATACAGACACACTTTTCCACTTCAACCCAAATTTCTAGATGCAACATAAAGAACTCGAGCAGCGGCTGATTCAGTTGGAAGATCGCATCAATGAGCTGAAGAGGCAAACTTACTCTGTTCAGCGATTTCATCATGAAAATCCGAATTCGGGGGGGGCAAGCAAAATGATGTTGAGGGGTTTGTATCTCAGACAATTGTCTTGTAGGTAGAAGGACTTGCTTTAGAACTGATGAAAATTAAACAAGATGATTTGCGCTATTCAACCGCTTTAGAGGTGAAAGAAATCCTATTGACATAATCGTGCTATCTATTGAAATTATAGGAAGCGGGGAAAAGCCGCTTGTTTAATATTGTTGTCCAGGATGATGAAATAGCGAAATCACTTCTTGAGAGATACAAACAATTGCGACGTATCACATGCATACCGATGAATCGTATTAAGGGATCGGCCCTTTCTCTAGAGGTTTGTCAATTGTTATCAGAATGAAGTAATTCCTGATCATTTCGTTTGCAGAAAGTGAAACAGGCAAAATCCATCGCTAAGCTTCCGACGCAATCGCATGACATCAAGAGACCTCTCGATGCTGTTGTGTAAGAAATAGCAACTTGATTCGTAATCCATGTTGGAGATTCTGTTCACCTACCAACAATTCCACTTGCTGTGTTTGTTGTATTCAGTGCAACTGCGCCAGAATATCAAGAGTCTCTTTCATATGTCTTCGGTTCTTCGTATTTATGCGCGAACGCACAACTTGCACAAACTGTGAGTCATTCCTGTTCAAATGATGAGCTTTCTTGTCTCTCAGGTGTCCCAAGCTCCTGGTGTGAAAGCACTTGCGATTACAATTCACGGCGATAGCTACAATCCCAGTGGTTCAGTCAGTGGAGGATCAAGCGCTGGTTTAGGAGGAATACTCTTGAAATATAAGGAACTGGTTGAACTGATGGAAGAAGAGAAAAACTTAAGAAAAGAAATGAGGCAAGTTACAAAATGTTGGAAATTAAATAGTGAGCAAATTCTGTAGTGGAGTAGAATCTAAAATGGAAGAAATGGAGTCCCAAATCAAAGAACTGGAGCGTCTCCAAAATGAACACCAAACGTGTCAAATTTCTATTGAGGGAATGCAAGTGAGGAAAAGATGAGAAGCGCGGTTTGATGGATTTCTGGCAGAGAAGAATGTCGGAGTTGCAAGAAACTTCTTCAGCGGGGAAAGAAACCAAAAAAAAAGAAGAATTACTAGAAGCAGAAAAAAGATTGCATTCAATTCAAAACGAGGAGCTGCCTCGATTAAGAGACGTCGAGCTGCCAAAGCTAAGAAAAGAGATTGAAGCTGGCGCCGGAACAAGAGAGGAAAGAGTGAGAGATCAGGAAGAGGAAGGTTAATTGCGGAATTTCAGATTGCGAAGTTAGAGCAACAGATCAAAGAATTAATGCCAAAATTAAAATCTGCAGAAAAAGATCTTGGAAAAATTCAGGGTGTAAGTCTGATTCGTGACGCTCTGTAACGCTTCTATTGCAGATGACTTCGAATTTGACTCGCGATCTGGCCGTTCTGGATGAACAAATAGAGAATTTGGAGACGCAAATGGAGGAAAAGAGGAAAGAGGATCTTTCAAGCTTAGAAGAAGACTTGAGGACAACTGCGACCGCACTGCAAGGTGTTGTAAGTGAATTGTAGATACGTATCTAGTGCACCACACTTCAGGAAGCCGCATTGAACAAAACAACAGAACAACTCCGAGAAGCAGAAGCTGAAAGTCACCAACGCAATAGCAAATTCACTGCAATGTGTCAAGAGAAAGATGAATTGGAGACAGATATCCGAGAATGTGAAGCTGAGATTGCGAAAGTGAGGAAACATCCCATTTAGAACAAATTCACTCTTGCTCTGTAGAACAAGCATGCCTCACAAAGAGTTCGGCAAGACACTCAAGAATATGAACGAGTAAGAATTTGCTGTGTGACTCTTAGTGCTCTTTCCGTCTTCAGAGGCTTCAATTTCTGATAAGGGATCATTCTTGGCTTGAAGGCGTTGCCAACGAACTCAATCAGCCGAACGGTGATTTTGATTTTAGCAAGCCAGAAGCACACGGTCAGTTCCAACCCTTCTTGAGACTATCGACATGAATTAATTTTATGTCAGATTGCCATGAGCGTCTTGAAGGACTGAAACGTAAAGTTGAGCAACTTCAAAAAAGGGTTAATCGAAGCGTCGTAGCAACGTTGCAAAATGCTGAGAAGCAACTGAGCGTATGATTTGATTTGTTAGCGAGACACTTTTGTTGCTGCTGTAGGGATTGTGTGAGAAGAAAACACAACTGATTCGCGATAAACAGAAACTTGAGGAATTTATCGAAGAGCTGGACGTTAAAAAAAAGTTGGCTCTAGAAGGATGTTGGAAACAGGTCAGTAGGAGAAAATGCGCTTGTTTTTCAATGATACGCACAGGTAGACGAAAATTTCTCAGCCATATTTTCGATGTTGCTTCCGGCGAGCGACGCCCGATTGGCACTAACATCTTCGAAGGAGCTGCAAGACGGGCTGGAGATGAAGGCAAGGAGGATTGCCCTCCCTGTTCATGAATTTTGTTTGTTTCAGGTGACCCTTTCTGGAGTTCAAAAATCTTCGCTGGGGGAACTCTCAGGCGGTCAGAGATCGCTATTAGCATTGGCCCTGATTCTCGCACTCCTAAAATATAAACCGGCTCCCCTCTACATCTTGGATGAAATTGATGCGGCTCTTGATTTGAGCCACACACAACGAATTGGTGAGAAGAAGTCTCAACAAAATTGGAATGAAGTGCGGTTAATATTTCAGGAAAAATGATTCGAACACAATTTAGAGGGTCCCAATTTATTGTCGTTTCTCTGAAGGAAAATCTTTTTAGCTACGCGGATGTTCTTTTCAAGTAGGCCGTGCTATGAAATTGATCAGGACTCCCTTTCTATGCAGAACCAGTTTTTCTGGAGGGTCGTCTCAAGTCCAACGAACTGAAAATCGCAAAATTGATGAAGAGGATGAACAAAACGAAAATTTAGCAGTTCAACGTAGAAAGCGAATCTAACAGACACTATAAAAAGAGAGAATAACTCTAAAATTCCGGTGAGGCGGAATCGAACCACCGACTATCTGATTTCTGCTTCTCTACAGTCAGATGGTAGAGCATCTGAGCTATCACCGGCTCAATAAGTTGTCCTCATCCCTTTTTAAATGGTGTTTTTCAAAGCCCATGATTCTTAAAGGCCTTCGAAAAATTGCTTGATTCCATCATTTTTGGGGTGTGAACCTTGTGCGCCACAATGTGGTAGTTTGTGCGCCACAATGTGGTACTTGTGCGCCACAATGTGGTACTTTGTGCACCACAAATTACTTCAGGGCAGTAAAATATGCGGAAGTAGAATCGGTCTCACTGAATAAATGTAAATCGTACGAAGCGCAGAAAAGAGAGTGGATTTCTTGAAGCGAACAATTCGAACCGGTACTGGATGTTGCCGACCTCCACATGCATGATGGTCTTCCGGTCAGGCTCTCAGTTATCTAGTTCTTTGAAAGGCCAAATCCTGACAATGTCGTCCATTGTTCGAGCTTTCTTTCTCGTCCTTGTCGCTCTCTTTGCGCTGGCAGGAGCACAACAAGTTCCCGAGACATGCGCGCTGTGCAAAAAAGTCCCCGGATTTGTTTGGTGTTGGACTGGTAAGAACCTTTTATTAGCCACAAACGTCTATGTTTTTTTCAATTGCTATTTCAGGAACTGGTGGTCAACGGATTCAAGCTTGTGTTCCTGTCGCTTTGTGTCCTTCGGGATCGGAAGTCGACTGCTCGAAGTCATCTGCAGCTGGATTGTCCTTGGGAGCTGCTGCTGCTCTTGCCGTCGCAGCTCATATCGCTGCCTAAACGGTGTTTTCATGTAATGGTGTAGCTCGTATCAAGGATTACCGAGCTAGTATTTGAACAAATTTCTTTTTTCGTCTCTAACAATTTCGTAGAAAATAGCGTGAAACAATTGAAAATCAAGGCGATCAATAACTTTTGTTACATCTCCTTTTAGGAAGATTGATGAATGAGTCCGTGAAGTTGCCTCACAGGACTGGTTGTTGTAATGGGGACAGAAATGGAGTGTCAAACAGCTTGCACTCAGAATCAACTCAGACGTACCAAGTGAAGCTCTGGTTGTTTATCCAAAAAGCAAATCACGAAAGCGTTTTTGCGAATCATACGAAGCAATTAGAACTCTCTGACATCTGGGCATCCCCAAACCCGTAATCCGAGAATCGTTAGTTTGTGAGCTTCATTGATGATTTTCCTTGATTGCTTTCACCTCTTTGATTTCCAAGCGTTCTGAGTTTCCCTAAAGAAACTTCCACTGACGAAGAATTGAAAGCAGCAAAGATCTCATCGATGATTCTTAAACGAAAAGTAAAAACGTTTGATTTAAATCGTCATTTCAGTCTTTTCAAATCAGATTCAAGAAAGTGATGAACGATTTGTTACAGAAATTCATTTCTGAGAATCCAAAGCATTAACGATGAATTGTTTATTCAACAAAACTTCCCACGGTGATTCATGTAGTAGTCAGCTGGTTCCTCAATCAAATATGTTTCCGGATAATCAGTGATATGTGAACGAATTCTTGTCTGTGAGAACTTCGCCAGAACATCTAGGAGACGTACTTCGCTTTTTTGTGACTTCGCGTAGAGCTTCGGTTCAGAGAAGGGATTTTCGGTGTCCGTATCCAATCACTCTGGAATCATCAAAGTTCTGCCATTTCCCTCCGTCTAGATTGCAAGGCGCCGGTTCCAATCTCTGCTCTTTCTTTCTTCACAATATTCTACCATGTCGAACAGCTGACCTCCAACAGATTAATTGGAGATGGACAATTGGTACTTATTGCTCATCCAGTTATCTTCCGTCTCAAAAGCATTACCAGCCCGGGTCGTTTTCTCATGGGCCATTGAATTGAAACACACCATCTCCGCAGTCCGTCGACTAACAATACTATGGGGTTCCTCATTCGGAGCGGAGATGTGCCGTGATTTATCAACAATTTACACTGAGTGAGATTTATCAACAATTTACACTGAGTGAGATCTACCTACAATTTACACTAATCAATAATTCGCCTGAAACACCAAAACTGAAACTGAGTGAGAACATTGAGACTAAAACAGTGAGCTACAATTCCAGAGTTGAGTTACACTTTCATGAAGTTCTAGATTTTTGTCAAGGGAAAACACATATCATCGTAGCATTGCTGCACATTGACGTAGACGTGCAGTGATAGTCATCCAAGGAATTACACTGTGGCAATCTGGTAATGACTAGCTCCATACATCTAAATGATAAAACTGGGATTCGGGATAGGATCATCAGTCTGAGCATCCAAATTCACAATTAGAAACGTCTCTGGACAGGCCAGGTTCGTAAGGGATTGCTGTAGTACCAGATGCACAAGCACGATCAAAATCTATTGGAAAGAACTTCTTTCCTCCATTTCTCGACGTAGAACGAACATTCTCAATTCGAACATCCTGGGGTAGAAAACCTTCCGATGAAGACAATCCAATGTCTTTACACAAGAATGGGACCACGAAATAAATTCATCTGGAGTCATTGGAATGCCTGGCAGTTCTAAATGCTCCATTTCCACAATGAGAAGTCCTATTGATGATTGAACTGAGTAGACTTTCAAGTGCTCCCCGCTTGTACCGAATAGCAGCGTAGATGTCTGATACCTCCTTCCGAACACGATCTCTCATGAGGGTAAACGTGGAGAAAGACGCGAGCTAATTTGTTGAAATCGCTTCATCATCTGAGGCAGCTGTTTATGTAAATGCAAAAGTTGATTAAGCCGGGGACATAAAGCAACACGGTCTTCAGGATGAAATTGAATTCTCGCAACCGAACATCACGCTCCTGATCAGTAAGAAATTATAAGTGGCTCACCGAGGGCAAAATAATAAAAACGCAAGATGGTATCCAACTCGTGTACAAACGAGAATTGGGAACCGTTGGCGCAAACTTCGGTCCCTGTAATTGGTCTCGCTCTATCCTCATCGAGAGGCCTATTCTTCTCTTCTGCGCACTGGGGTTTGTCCGATTCGCATGCACACATCTGGTCTGTGTACAGTCATCAAGTTGAAGCTCCGCTGCATCCGTTGATCGATGCGAATTCCCAAAACTCGTTTAAGAAGAAGAACATCAATGGGATACTGCACACAATCATTGACTGCGGGATACCCAACGCTTCTGTGCGATGAGCGCTAAAAGGCACCCGAGCTCCGTGGTATTATTGTTGGCAGTTGGACCAGGACCTCAACACAGAGTTTTCAAGAGTGGTTCAAGTTTGGTTCGAGACAAAAGTCTGTAGCATGAGGAAAAAAGGCGCGCGACAGAAGTCAGGTCTAACACCCTCCCCTCAACTAAGGACTCGGCGTGGACCCGGAAGGGCTTTGGTGAGAAAGTCCGCAAGTTGATGTTCCGTTGGAACAGAAAGAACCTTGAACGTGCCTGAGTTGACGTATTCACGAATTTTGTGTGGTATTTGATGTCGATGTGCTTTGCTCTTTTATGGTGCATGGGATTTGTAGCGATGGCAATGGCGGCGTGATTGTCACAGTGGAGTGAGATCGGAGATGGGATTGGAGCTGGAAGTGTTTCTTGGAGAACTTGAAGAAGCCAGAAAACTTCATTGGCAGTTTGTGCCAGAGCGAGATATTCAGCTTCTGCAGTTGAGGTAGAGACGGCTGATTGTCTTCGACTGATCCACTGAATGGGAGCGTTGCGAAAAAGGATGAGAGAACCAGACGTGGATTTACGGGAGTCAAGACAACCACCGTAGTCAGCATCAGAGAGAGCATGGACGATGAGAGAAACTGGAGCGAGCTTGAGAGCAAAATTTGAAGTCTTTTTTAAATAACGAAGAGTGTGTTTGGCAGCTTGCCAGTGAGAAGAATTGCTTGACGCGCTGAACTGGCTCAATTTTCCAACGGTGTAGGCGAGGTCGGGGCGTGTGGCGATAGCTGCATACATGAGACTTCCTGTGAGAGATTGATTTTGAGCGTGGGATGAAATGCAAGATGAGTGGGAACTGGTTGTTTCTTCTTCCAAGGGTTGACTGAGGCGGAGATTGGGTGGAAGAGGTGTGGAGACGGGGTTGGCGTTCGTTCATGTGAAATTGATTGAGAATGTCTTCGAGGTATGTTCGTTGACGTAAATGAATAGTGATCGATGGCGGATGACTTCCATGTTCAAAAGTTGATTGACAGGGCCGAGGATTTTCATGGAGTATTTGGATTGGAGTAATTCTTGGACATGTTGGATGAAGGCTGGATTTGGACCCCGGACTTTATGCTCTCCACGTCGAAAACGACTTCGTCTACCTCGCCCTTTACGTCGATGATCTTCTTCTCGCAGTGGACGAAATCCAAGTGTGGCGAGGGTGGAGTCGATTTCTGAAAACCAGCAACGGGGCGCTTGCTTGAGGCCATACAAGGCTTTGTTGAGACGGTAGACATGATGTGGAAATTGATCGTTGACGAATCCGGGAGGTTGACGTACAAAAACTTCTTCATCGAGAATACCATTCAGGAAGGCATTGTCGATGTCGAGATGTTGACATTCCCAGTCGAAGAACGCAACAAGGGCAAGGAGAAGAAGACGGAGGGCTGGAAGAGAGACTACAGGAGCAAATGTTTCGTTGAAGTCGATTCCAGGAAGTTGGCGGGAACGTTGAACGCAGAGACGAGCTTTGTCTACGTTACCATGGACATCTTGTTTGCGCTTGAAAACCCAAAGAACGGGCAAAGGGACACGATTGGGAGGAAGTGGAATGAGGGTCCAGGTGTTGTTGTGTTCGATGGCTTGGAATTCGCGATTTAGTGCTTCAATCCAGTGAGGAGCGTCTTCACCGGTGGCTGCCTGTTTGAAAGTGCAGTCGCTGGCAGAGTTGACGAGTGTGATCGATTCGGAGTCCGGGAATGTGGAGAGTTGAAAAGCGGATGGGTCAAATGGGGCTGGTGGAGGTCTTGATTGGCGTCCAGAGCGTGTTATGCAAGGAGGCTTGGCGGGTTCTGAGTTTCAGTGTGCGAGAGGAGAGTTGTCGTTGAAAAGAAGGTTGTCGTTGTTGAGAGGGTGGTTGTTGAAGAGAAGGTTGTTGTTGTGGAGAGGGAGGTTGTTGTTGCTGTTGTGGAGGTTGTTGTTGCTGTTGTGGAGGTTGTTGTTGCTGTTGTGGAGAGGGAGGTTGTTGTTGTGGAGAGGGAGGTTGTTGTTGTTGTTGTGGAGAGGGAGGTTGTTGTTGTTGTTGTGGAGAGGGAGGTTGTTGTTGTTGTTGTGGAGAGGGAGGTTGTTGAAGAGGAGGTTGTTGAAGAGGAGGTTGTTGTTGGAGAGAAGGTTGTTGTTGAAGAGAAGGTTGTTGTTGAAGAGAAGGTTGTTGTTGTGGAGGAGGAGGTTGTTGTTGTGGAGAAGGTTGTTGAAGTTTGTGGCTTTCGTCAGGGATATGTGAAGGCAGGGCTTGAGGAAGTGAACTGTTGAAGAATGAGGGGTCCGGCTGGGGAATTTTCGTTGAAGGTGACGTCGCGTGATCGAATGAGTGAACGTGTGTGAGATGAAGATGTAGTGGGAATGATGTTGACCAAAACCGACAAAAATGACTTCGCGGGACACAGGAGAGAATTTGTTGGGACGGAGATCTTTGTGAATGTGGACGTAGGCGAGGCATCCGAATGTTCGGATATGTAGATCAGGAGGTTTGCTTGTCCAACGGTGGAAGGGAGTGATTTCGCGAGGTAGTGGTTGAGTTGGTGACCGGTTCTTCAAAATAACAAGCAGAGAGAATGGCGTGTCCCCAGAATTCGGATGGTAGCTGTGACCAGATCAGCATTGAGCGGGCTTTACAAGTATTCGATTGAGACGTTCCGCGACGCCATTAGATTGACTGGAGTAAGGCACTGTTGGATTGAGGCGGATTCCATGAGTTCTACAGTACTGTTGAAATTCATTTGATAGGAATTCCCCACCGTTGTCGCATCGTAGTTTTGATAGGGAAATCTGATGGAAGTTGATTGCTTGGGCATGGTACCAGTAGAAAGCTGTGAATGCATCTGATTTGCGTTTCAGGAGGGCGAGGGATGAGTAGCGGAGAAGTCGTCTGTAAATGTGATGAAATATTTGTGTCCGTCCAAATCGTTGGGAAATGGTCCGCAGAGATCCGAGTGTACGAGTTGCAATGGTCGGTGGCTTGAAGTTTTCGAGTTTTGGGGAAAGGTGTCCGGGTTTGTTTTGCGAGGGCACATACACGACACGGTTGATTTGAAGGAGAGACAGGTAAGTGGAGAAGAGAGCAGTGTTGGTTGTTGAGATGTCCCATTCGAAAAGATGCCAGAGTGTGGAGGGGTCAGATTGAGTGTCTTGAAGTTGGATTGTTGCAGCAGTGGTTGTGGAATCATGAAAAGTGGCAATGTAAAGACCGTTGGTCCTTGGAGAAGTGATGAGTGTTGTTCCTGAAGCATCAGTGATGGTACAGACGCCGGCCCCATTGAGATATGTGGTATCCTTTGTTTTCGGCGAGGCTGGATGAGAAAAGGTTGTAGGAGAATCGTGGACAAAAGAGGACGTTTGTGAGTTGGATTGGTTCTCCAACGTGAGCAATGAGTTTGACAGTTCCTACTCCTTCGGCAGACGTTGATGTGGAGTCTGGGAAACTGATTTGTCGTGTGATTGGTT